GTATTACTTATACATAGATGATAATAAATTTTAATTATTTTTTTAATAGACTTTTGTCCTTGTATGACTGATATCATTCAGCTATTACGTGTCGTGTATATTATACAAAATAGGACTATAGTAAAAATTTTATTATTTTTTAAATATGTTATCGTCTGATAACAACTAGTACTATGTGCATATATTCAGATATGCTTAATTGTTTGTTAGTACAAACTAAAAAATGACACCTATAATTATATTGAACCATACAAGAGAGAACACTTGGATACAATATTTTAGGTATATTTAATATTGTTATCTAATCAAAGTCACATAGCAGTGAATAAGCTTAGCTGTTTGTTATTACTAAGTAAAAAATTGTACATACAATCATACTGAACCATGCAAGAAAGAAAATATTTGGGTATAATATTTTTATATATATTTAATATTGTTATCTAATCAAAATCACGTAACAATTGATGTATTTAGTATTTTTTTTTATAAGTAAAATAAATCTTATTAAAAAGAGTTCAAGGGGAATTCAAAACTCATATACACAAAAAATTACTTACTCAGAGAAATAAAAAGTAAAAATATACTTATACAAAATTAAGACAGATGCAATTTCGTGGGTTCAAATACCAATCAGCTAACATAATAGCTTCTCCTTTCTTAACAAGTGATAACCATTTTCAGGATCTCAGAATAATAGAATCTAGGACTTCCCTCTCATCCAAAATACTATTGGAAAATATAATTCTATTTCTATGCAACCACAAAGACCACACTGTACTTACCCAAATAATTAATAAGCATATTCATTCTCTTTTACTACAGCCAACACCAACCCAAGAAAGCAAGTGAGTTGATAAATCTGAAGGCAGAACCAGTGAGAATCCAAGCCAACGCGCAGTAAAGTACCAGATTTGAGATGAAACTGAACACGTTAAAAATAAATGAGTTGGAAGTTCCTCCAAACCATGACAGAAGCAACAAGTTATATCATCAATTTGAACACCACGATCAACCAGTAAACCTTTACAAGGAAGTGCATTCAACAACAATTGCTAAGAAAAAACCAGACACTTAAGAGGGACCTTCCCTCTCCATAGCCTTTGCAAGGCATCTGCCGTACACTGATCTACACTATTAGGACCACCAAAAAGTTCAAATAGTCATGAATACGCATATTGCACTGAATAACAACCTGAAGAATCTGCCCTCCATACCCATTTATCTTCTTGTAGTAACTTAATAGAAACTCCATCCACAAGCTCCAACAAAAGATTAAAGCTCGAGATCTCATGTTGAAAGAGTCTTCTTCGCCAACTAACATTCCAAACCCATCTAGTGCCATCATGAAAACCATTCTCCAATACACATGATTCAGCGTTTCTCGCCACTGCAAATAATCGCGGAAATGCTTCACACAATCGCACCCCTCCTACCCACTTATCTCTCCAAAAAAGAGTGTGAAAACCTTTACCCACACTTCTATCAAACTTCTCATCCAGCCATGAATTCCCTTGATGAATAACCTCCAGCAAATCACGCCACCACAAAGAACATCTGTTGTGAACTGACGAACGCTGAAGAGAAGAAGCTAATCTTCCATATCTAGATTCCAATACCCGCACCCACAATGAACTAGAACAGTTAACACCGCGCTACAACCATTTACCAAGAAGCGCCCAATTAAACCACTGCACATTCCTAATACCCAAACCACCATTCTTCCGCGGTCTACATACAATTTTTCATTTCACCCAGGGGATTTTAGATCCATCCTTAACACCCTTCCATAAAAAATTTCGTTGGATAGTGACAATTTCCTTTATTACCGACTTCGGCACCTTAAAAAAGGATAACGAGTGCAATGACATAGAATTAAGAATGGCATTAATCAAAGTCACCATACCTCCAATCGATAAATACCTATGCTTCCATGACGCTAACCGCTTTTTAAGAGCCTCTAACACACCCTTCTATGCACTAGGCTTTCTTGGGTTAACACCTAACTGTAACCCGAGATACTTTAATGGGAAACTACCAATCTTACAATCGATATTTAGTATTGTGTGCTTTAGAGTGTGAATATGAAATGCCTAATAACTCAAAATACTAATATAGAAATGATAGCTCGACTCTTGGGCAACAAAATTAATTAGTAATACATTCTAACATGTCTTTTTCAATAATGAATATTTTTGATATTTGAATGCAGAATCAGTCATTTCCATATGATAAGCTTAATCAAATAGTCAAATGTGCATGTAGTATCAGTTAATACCGAACAATAACATATTAAAAAAATAATAAAAATTTTACCATTGTCTTATTTCTTTCGATACTTATTAAAATAATAAAAAAATTTATTATTATTCTATTTTGTCTAATACATGCAACACATGTCAGTTTTTAAATAGTATTGGTCATTTAGAGAAAATAACCTGTGAAAATAATAATTAAAACTGTTGTTGACATGGTAAAAAAAAATAGCAAACAATAAATTAGTTTTAAAAGAATCTTATTTTGAAAAATTGTAGTAAATAATGTATTATTTAAGTAAAAAAGTTGTCAAAGTTAGAACAACCTAAATACAATTCAAACAGAAAACTGTTTAAAAAAAAAACAAACAAACATTCTATAATTTATTTTGGTTTACTTTCTAGTTCTACAATTCTAGTTTCATTTTATATTTATACTCAATATTTTTTTTTTAATTTTGTAATATAACTCCTAAATTTAACTCCTTTACAAATTGTACAATTATGAAGTCAATAAATAATAAATAAAATATATATAATTATCATTAATAAATTTTATTATAAAATTTAATAATTTTTATTTATAATATATTTTTAATCTTCAAAAATATAATATGATTTAATTTTTATTTTTATTAGTTTTAGTCCTTAAAAAACTAAAACATTTCAAAATAACATTTATTAATGACTTATTGTGCATTTAAACATGTCAATCACAGGTAGCAATAAAGACTATTTTTAAGATTTTAAATTTTTTGAAGATCAAAATTAATAATATTTTATATAGAAGTAAAATTAAATTTATTCATATTTTTAGAAACTAAAATTATATTTAAGGTTTTTTAATTAATACCTACTAAAAGATTTGTTAGTGAAGTATTAGAAAAAATTAAGTGATTTAGTCATAATTTTTTTTATTAAAAATCATATCAAGTGTATTAAAAATTATGGCAAGATGCATTAATAATTTTTCTGACAAAAAAATATTTTATTCTTTAATCAATATTCTTAAGATATTTGTTAGCGCTTGTTATAAAAATTGTTAGCGCTTGTTATAAAAAATAGCCAAACGGTCACTAAGAAAAAAGTATATTTTAAATTAAAAATGATATTAATTTATTTACCATTTTAAAAAAAAATTATTGCTTAAAGCAAATCCTTAGAAAATAAAGAAAAAAAAATAAAAGGAAAGGAATTAATTAACAAACCCCCCCCCCACACACACACATATATATATATATATATATATAATTAAAAATTATAATATTTAATATTATTAATACATTAAAAATAAAGTTTGATTTAAGTAGATTATAATGTAAAAATTGTATGGATAAATTTTAAAATAATCATTACAATAATAATATGACAATTCATTGGATGATAATATAAAAAAAATTATTCTATTTATATATTTTAATTAAATTTAAATTTAATTATCTGTAAATTTTTATTGTATATATTTAAACACATGTTAAAAATAATTAATAAATAAAATTATAATAAAAATAATGATTTATAACTTAATAAATAATAATTTTTTATCAAAGGATACGTTATGATGCATTATAAATTAGAAAAAAAAGTGTATTGTTAAATTTCTTAATAAAAAATCATTAAAATTTCTTACCTAATTAATAGTATTTTCTAACAAATATAGTTAAAAGACTTGTGTTTGAAAGAATTTATAAAATATTTATAAATTTTATAATCTTTTAATTTATTTTGATAAATTCTTTTATTACAATTTATCAAAATAAGTAACTTTTAATTTAATTTAATAATTTTAAAATTTATATAAAAACTATTAAATAAATATTTATTTAAAGTTAAACTATATATTTAGTATGTATAATTTATATTATTTATAAATTTATTCTTATATTTATGAAATTTATGTTTTTGTTGTTATATAAATTATTTTGTTATATTTTAATTTTTTGTAAACATAATACCTATAAAAAAATTAAAAATAAATGATATTTTTATATTAATAAAGAATAATTTATTAATGATATTATAACAGTGAAAAATAAAATAATTATATGAAAATTAACATATATAATTTTTAAAAAAACAATTAATTTATAAACGATTATTAATCATAAAAATTAAATATAAAAAATGTTAACTTGAGTTTTTAGAACTGAATTTGACGATATAATAATAGTATGTTTATATTGAAAAAAGTATCTTTTATTTTTTTTCGATAATTTAATAAATATTTTTTAATGAAAATTTATTGCATTTACGTGTTTAAACAAATATGTTAAATATATATATTAAAAAATAAAATTTTCATTCAAAGACAGTAAATATATAATAAAAATATTAAATTAAGAAATTAAAATATATTAAAAAATGAAAACTAATGTATTTGTTGTGTAAAATAAACTAAAAAAGCACTAATTCTCAATTTTAATATATATTAATATGATATGAAAATAAATTACTCCCTTTTAATTAATAGTCTAAAGGCAACAGTTGAAAAGATTCATGCATATTTTAACCTTCACTTGTTAACAAACGAAATTTTGATGTCTCCTCCGTCGGTAGTGGGTATAAATACCACCCACTCTTTTCTTCTCTCTCTGGCGCTCACTTCTTTCAACTTATTTCTCTCTCTCGAGTCTCGCGTTCAGTGAGAGAGATAGTGGGTGTGATTTTCGTTGTTAAGGCTTAGCGCATGCTTCCTCTCACCCTAACCATCCAAAATAGAAAAAAACAGAGTTGAAACCTCCAACTTCAATGACGGTGTTTTCCACCAAGCAAGTGTTTCCGGTCGACTACGAGGCCGAAGTGTCACACCGGCTTCTAGAAGCTTCTCACTCCGGCGATCTCCCCCTGGCCTTCCAATGCATTGCCGATCCCTCCGTCGACGTCAACTTCGCCGGTGCCGTCACCTTGAAGACATCCGCCACCGACCTTCTCCTCCTCCCCGAATCCCCCAGCCAAGTCCGCTTCCACTTCCAGGAATTCGTCTCCGACGTCACGCCTCTCTTCCTCGCCGTTCATTCTGGTAACGCCGGCCTCGTCAAGAAGCTACTGGTAAAGCCACGCTCGTTCTTCCTAAGATCGCGACGTGATTCGAATTTTTTAACTGTTTTATTGATTATTGATTTTCTCTGATTCCGAGTCTCAGCTTTTCACCTGTTTTCGAAACGGTTCAAAGTGCTCTAGGCTCAATTTTTTTAAAACGAAAAAATTATTGCTGATTCGGTGTTTTTGAACTGTTTTACGAGCGAAAATTTTGTGGAATGTGTTTTTAATCGTTAACCTTAACTTATGAGATTACTGAAATCGAAGAGTATTAACTCTTGACAGTGATGTCGTTGAAGAATTAAGATCTCTTCTACAAAATTTAATTTCGAGTTCAAAATGTTCTCTCTCTCTTTCTCTCTCTTTCTTTTTGTTTTAGTTTTAATTTTCAAAGAAAATAACTAGTCTTCGCCCTAATTTTTGAAACAAAAATGGATTTCATTTTCCAAGTTACGGGGAAAAGAAAAAGCAACGTTGATTTTGAATTTTTGAATCGTTCACTTTTTAATTGGATGAGTAATGTTGGTGGTTAGTCCTTGGTCCCCACTTCACTTTTCTCCATCGTTATAATCTCTACACAGTTATATCTGTCCATTTCCCCTTGGCATAGTTCTCTTCTCCCCTCAATCTAAAGCGAGACATTACAAGTGTTCAAGTATCAGCTGTACATCATATTCTTCTATTCACTCCAAAAAAGCTGCAGAGTTTTTTTTTTCCTTTGGCGACAAAGAAAATGAATATTACGATCCTTAAGGCTTTCAAATCAATGTAAGCCACGCGACGAACAAATTACATATTCCATTTTATTCCAGAGGAAAATATTGGAGAGTAACCTTTCCCTTTTGTAATAACAGAAGAAAATTATACTGTAATAAAAAAGTTCATTCCCATTATTTTTTCTTAAAAAAAATCATTCTATGTTTTTTTTAAAGAAAAGTCACCCTAATTTTTATGAGATAGCAAAAGACTCTCGAGAGCTTAAAGATCAATGCAATTTTATTTACGTAGTAATATGGATTCTTTTTCTGTTTTTGGGAGCGTGTCTCGCACTCTTGCGTGTCCCCATACCGTGTCGACTTGTCCCCGACCATTGGAAATTATGCAGTTTACACGATACGTCCCTCCCTCCTTAGGCCCCACACACACACCAAAAGAGAAAAAAGATAACTATTTTCATTATCTTCTTTTTGTTTGATTTTGTTCACTTTTATCTTCTGCTATATTACATAATCGCTTCTTCCCCATTTTGAATATGTTATGTATGGATTTTCTCGGGCTATTTTATACCAGGATACGTAACTACGAAAAGAAAGATAAAAAGGCACAAAAATGATTAAAGTGTGGAAGGCATTTTTGTCCCAAGTGTATTGAAACTTCTTGATTTATTACTATGCGCTGTGTTGTTATATTTCAACATTTTAACACTTTGGAAAAAAATAAAGGAAGAAAAAATAAAATTAGAAGTTTCTTGCAGAGTTTTTCAGGAATTATAAACTATGACTACACATTCCAATTTGTTTAACTTATTTTAAAGAAATATCAACTTATTTTTATTAAAATTTTAGAAAATTTTTAAAAAGTGAATAATAATTGTTCAAAACAATTCTAATCAAACATGCACTAAGAGGTTGAAATTTTCCTTTTTAATTAAATGACAGAATGTGGGAGCTGATGTAAACCAGAAGCTCTTCCGAGGCTTTGCAACGACCGCAGCAGTAAGGGAGGGTCACTTTGATATTCTGGAGATCTTACTTAAAGCAGGGGCATCGCAGCCAGCATGTGAAGAAGCGCTTCTGGAGGCAAGTTGCCATGGGGAAGCAGAGTGTGTAGAATTACTCATGAACTCTGATTTGATCCGACCTCATGTTGCTGTACATGCTCTTGTGACCGCAAGCTGCAGGGGGTTTGTAGATGTTGTTGAGACACTCATAAAGGTACGTCTTCTGCAGCAGCATAGGTCTAGATATTCCATCATGTGACCCCTGAACAATGATTTAGATCAATAGCGTTTGCATTTTGCAGTGTTTTTATTGGTTTTACCTGGCATATTAAGTTCGGATCGTATTAGGCAATATTCACGATCAGATTATGTTTCCCTCTCCTGCTCTCTCTTATGTTCTGAAAACTTTCATGTCTTTGCCATGCTTGTTAGCTTTTCACAAAATTTTCCCGAACATTTACCTTGTTTGTCATTTTGCAAGTGTAAACTTATACCTTGAATTTTCTTCTTCCTAGAGTTCAATTGACATTCCCATCTTATGTAACTTGTGAAGCAAGTGGCACCTTAATATTTATCTGCCAGTCTCAAACGTATAGTTACACTGTTATTCTCACCTAATGTTCTAAGTCAATTGCCGCCACAGTATTCTTACTCTCACCTAACATTTAGTTAAGGGAAACTAAATAAACCTATGCTTGTAGTCAATTAATACTGGTACAAGTTACTGTTTATGGTAAATACTTGTTTGAACTTAGAACATGCTAAACTTAAGATGTGTTTGTTAAATGGCAGTGTGGGGCGGATGCCAGTGCAAAAGACCGGGTGCTTTTACAGTCACTTAAGCCTTCACTCCATACAAATGTGGATTGTACTGCACTTGTTGCAGCTGTAATTCACAGGCAGGTCCCTGTTGTTGATTTACTACTGCAGGTTTGCCCCCTTCAAAACTTCTGATTATTGTTACAATTTGGTTTTTTGCACGAGAATATTTCACATCTATGCCCACTCCTAGTTTTTGCAACCAATATTTCTTTGCTATTGGAATTTGCTTCTCGTGGACTATTGGTTTGTTACTTTTTACTAACTAATTACATTTTATCCAAAATAATTTTTATTGAGCTATAATGAATCATGTAAGAAGCCATGTGACTTTGTGGCACAAAATGGCTTGTTTCTTAATGCTGAAGATTATGTTCATGAGTCTGCCAAAGGCAGTGACCTCTTTTAATGATGCTCAGCAGGTTTCTGCTGCTGCACAACAATTCAGAAAAAAATAAAATAAAAAAATAAGATTTTCAGTATCTTCATTTGATTTGTTTATTTTGCCGATAGTAACATAATTGGACTTGTGTTTTCTCTCTCTACATTTTATTGTTAATATGAAATGAGCCTCACTAGAACTTTTCTTACAAATGAACTACAGAATGGTGCTAGAACAGACTTTGAAGTGAGGCTTGGAGCTTGGTCATGGGACACTTCAACTGGTGAAGAGCTTCGTGTGGGTGCTGGGCTGGGAGAACCTTATGGCATTGCCTGGTGTGCAGTTGAGTATTTTGAAAGAAGTGGTGCTATACTACGATTGCTCCTGCAACATGTCTGCTCCAAACCTCATCGGGGAAGGACCCTTCTACACCATGCCATACTCTGTGGCAATGTTGAGGCCGTCAGGGTGCTCTTAGAATGTGGTGCTGATGTGGAATCCGCAGTTAAAACAACCGGCAAGACTGAGTTCCTTCCTGTCCACATGGCATCTTGTCTAGGCTTACCAACAATTGTTCAATGCCTCATTGATTTTGGTTGTGATTTGAACTCTATAACGGACTCTTGTGACACAGCTTTGATGATCTGTGCAAAATATAAACAAGAGGAGTGTCTCAAGGTACTAACAAGAGCTGGTGCTGATTTTGGCTTGGTCAATATTGCTGGTCAATCTGCAAGTTCAATCGCTGAGTCAAGCAAGTGGTCACTTGGTTTTCAACAGGCAGTGTTGGATACAATCAGAAGGGGCATGATACCCAAATCCAGCAATACTATAATTTTTTCCCCTATAATATTTGTTGCTCAAGCTGGAGATACTGAAGCATTGAAAACTGTCATTGAATCAGGAGAATTTCATCTTGACTATCAAGATGATAGTGGCTTCTCTGCAGTTATGCATGCTGCTTCAAAGGGTCATGTGGAATCGTTTCGATTGCTTGTATATGCTGGTGCCGATGTAAAGCTGTGCAATAAATCTGGTGAAACAGCCATAACCCTATCTGAAATGAATCAAAAATGTGATTTATTTGACAAGGTCATGCTTGAATTTGAGCTTGAAAAGGGCAATTGTAATGCTGGTGGCTTTTATGCTTTACACCGAGCAGCTCGCCGTGGTGACTTGGATGCTGTTACATTGCTCACCAGCAAAGGTTATGATGTGAATGTCCCTGATGGGGAGGACTACACACCGCTCATGTTAGCAGCAAGGGAAGGCCATGCGTTGATTTGCAAGCTTCTAATTTCATATGGTGCTCATTGTAATGCTAAAAACGCCAGAGGGCAAACTGCACTTTTACTTGCAAGGAAATTTGCAGGAGGGAAAAACGATGCAGAGGCTATTATACTAGATGAACTTGCACGCAAATTGGTATTAGATGGTGCCTATGTTCAAAAGCACACCAAAGGTGGGAAGGGCTCCCCACATGTGAAACAAATAAGGATGTTAGGCTCTGCAGGTGTGCTTTGTTGGGGGAAGTCAAGCCGGAGAAATGTGATTTGTTGTGAGGCAGAGTTGGGGCCAAGCACAACATTACGTAGAAATAGGTGCAAGAGAGGGGATGCAGATAAACCTGGAATGTTTAGGGTGCTCACTAACAAGAACAGGGAAGTGCATTTTGTATGTGACGGGGGATTAGAAGTTGCCGAGCTTTGGGTGAGGGGTATTAAACTTGTAGCCAAAGAGGCTGTTTTTCATAAGCAGATATCGGTCTAAATAGCGTTAATTATTGTCGATATGGTAGGATGTATAGGTGTTTGGAGTAGCACTTCATCTCGAAGTATTTTAGCTGCTTTTTATTGTAAAGATTTTGATCTATCAACGGTTGTACATCCTTTTTTTGGACGTTGGGGAAACTGAAAACAGAAAAGTTCTTTACCGTTTCTTATATCAGTGGATCTCATGGTAGGTGATACAATTAGACTTCAGAAATTAGCATCAGGTAATAGACATATTTCCAAAAAAATAAAACTTTCAAAATTATAGATATTGATCATATTAGTTTTGTAAGAATTAGGAGCTTTGGTGTTTTAAAATGAATATGCAGTAGGGATATCCATAGGTTGGATTAGCAAGTATTTATCTCAATTTTAATATAATTTGTTTAGTGGATTAGCTAGAAGTAGATAGAATAAAAAAAAAGAAAAAAGAGATGAGGGTGGATAGAATTAAAGTAGAAAAGGATATGAACTTAGATAAATTTTTATCTGATCGTGTGATTAGTGAAAATATGATAAATTGATAAATAGTAATACAAATTATATACAAATGATAGAGTTAATTTTTATAAAAAATTATGGTACCAGATGACGGGTGGTAGCAATGATAACGGTGGTGATAGTTGTAGCATTAATGTCGAGTGTTTTGATAACTAGGGCAGTGATCGTAGTTATAAAATTTATTACACATAAACACCATGACACAGATATTTGCATTTGGTATGCTAATCGATCCAACTATAAGATTACTTTTCTTATAAATTAGTGTATGGGTTTGCAAATAGTCTGTTTACTAGCACAAAACTACTTTTTAAAAATTAATTTTAAAAATAATAAAGAAAAAGTCATATTGGGATAGCTTGTAGCCGTAGCCCACACATCAATTAGGTTTTTGTAATATAAGTTCTTTAAGTGTTGAAAAAAAAAACTGTAATATAATATTTTAGTAAATTGACTTCTCAAAATGGATTAAAAAAATGGTGAAATGTATTATATGTCATTTTTCTCAAGATTGACTTAACGTTATTTGAAAAAAAATGTACGTGTTAAACAACTTCCTAATGCGTTTAATTTCAGGACATTCCGAGAAATAACATTACACTTGCAGTTTTAAATTATAACAATAGAGTAGAAAAACCCATAATCAAAGCTTTGGATAAAAAAAAAATATTTATTTACCTTTTGATAAAGGATTGGACTTTTAAAAGAATATATGGCAGCTTGATAATCATAATTCAAGGTTTTGATACAATAACAGTGGATATGTGGAGGGCAGTCCTTCCTTCCCCTGTCCATGAAATAAAAATAGAAATGTCATTTTATGGACAAATGCTGCATCAGTATTCAGTGCTCTTCAATCTTCACTCAAAATATTTGGCCTTGCTATTATAGAAAAAGAGAAATATAATATTATGGTAACAAATCTAACGAATTAAACTTTATTTTATAGTAAAGCATAATAGGATTGATGTACCCTTTATTCCCAAAAACAGAAAAATAATAATATGTCTTTTTTGCTTAAAAAAAAAGAATAATGTGTCTTTTATGCGCGCGCCCAAAACAAATAAAAAATACAAAGTAATTCATTCATCCAACAGGACAAAGTTTAACAAAGAAAAACAAGTTGAAACATCAAATTACCGTACTTATAGAAAATTTTCAAAATTTATTTGTGCATTTCATCATTTTTATTTTTTTATTGAGTAGAAACATTGATTATTTGATAATAATTTAAGTAAAAAAACTAATAAATACTCTTATCATATTAATTAAGAAAATAAAAATAGAATGTTTATAGAAAAATATTTATTATATTAAAAATATTTAATATAATTTCAATTTAGTTAATCACCGTACGGAGTAAAATTTCATTTTAGTTTATGAAAGATAGAGTTATTTAATTTTATCATTAAAAATATTAAAATTAATCTCTAAATATTTAGTTTGTTATTCATTTTAGTCTCTCTGCCAGAGTCTATTAATTAACTTTTATAAAGATGACGATGTGATATGTTAAATACAATGTAACTAGTTAATATATCTCTAATTATATCAATTAAAAATGTTACAGCATAATATGACTAAAAAAATTACTTCATTTGTCTTTCTTATATATAACACTTCATTAAAATATTACAACATAATTTGACTAAAATATACTTCATTTCTCTCTCGTAGAACACTTCATTAAAAATGTGTATGAAAATAAAATATTTCTTTAAGTAACTTTATATTATAATGTTTTAAATTGATATGATTAGGGACACGTTAGCTAGTGTGTCGCATTACATTTAATATGTGAAATCACTATATACGTAGGAATTAACTAGCATATTCTAGTAGAGGATTAAAATAAATGACAAATAATATATTTAAGGACTAATTTTAATATTTGTTTTTATTTACCAAATTAAAAATACTTCTAATCTATTGAGGACCAATTAGAAGTTTTAGTTTAATTAGTGTAAATATTAATGTATAAAGTTATGTATAAAGTTCAAGCATTTTTAAGCAATAATTAATCCTAAGCCTTTAATACAAAATATTTTAACATAAATGATAAAATTGTTTAAAGTTAATATATTTAGACTCTAATTATATAAATAAATAAATAAATAATATAAGCCAACAAACTAGTCCAACTATACATATAAACTTATATAATATTTTAAAAAATAATTAATTATATTTTTAATATAAATTTTTTAAAAAAAAATTACTTTAAAATTTAATATAAAATTATAAAATAATGAAAAAAAAGTAAGTATAATTATTTAAAATATTACATACATGTGTATTATCATAATCTTGAACTATTACGAGGATCTGGAACTTTTCCTTTATTATTAGTCACTAGGTTTATATGCTTACTATAATTATGTTATTTTTAGCGTAGAAAATTGTGTTTCTATTAAAAGAAAATGAGTTTGTTTATTTCTTATTTTTTTTAAAGAAACAGTATAACCTGAGAAATTCAGATTAATATAATATATTTTTAACTAAAAAATATTTTATAAATATTATTTTATATAATCTTTTAATATTACACTAAATAATGTATTATATTAGAATTTATTATATTTTATATATCATTGAGTCTTGTGTTTAGAGTATCAATTCAAACTACTCCATTCTGACTTGGCTTGAGTCACATTAGATAATAAATTATTGTGAGTCGAGTAACATTCTAGGCCACCAAATTATAGTATAAGTATAGTCGTTTGCGGATAGCAAATTTATGTGAATAACTCACTTTATGATATTCGAAAAAAGACTTATTTTAATATGTGCCAAAGATAAAAAAAAAATAAAAATCCACCAATAATATTTTTTAAAAATATTAAAATTTGAAAAATTAAATTTTTATTTAACAAATTTAAAATAAAATACACCATCAAACTTTCTCTTTTGTAATATTCCTTTTACATCAACTAGCAAACTCTCAATATCCTGATACTTAGAAATTAGCTTACAACTGTTACATTGAGAATCATTTAAACACGTGCAATAATCGATGTAACATTCGACTCATCCATAGTTCACAAGACTCAATCATTAATTTATTCACTTATTAGTCTTAACAAATTATATTTTTCTAATATCAATATTTAATTAGAAAATTTTTAAAAATAATACTAAATAAGATCTATATCAAGTCACTTATTTGTATCATACAAAATTATATTTATTTCAATGATATTAATTTTTTAAAGAAATAAATATGAAATTCTTCAATTTATTGATACTTAACTAAAAATATCTTAAGAACAATACTAAATAAGATTTCACGATCAAATTACTGTTCTAAAAATATTATTATATTCTTTTAAAATAAATATGAAATACTTCAATTTATTAAAATAAATATCTATAATATAAAATACATGTTTATAATAAAAAGCTCCTAGAACATACACTAACCATTATAGGTACCAAATAATGGCATTTAAACTAACCAATGGTCCCATTATATGAATATAATAATTTATCTATTTTTAGATTAATTTGATTTCATATTTATTGATAATAATATCATATTCAAAAACAATAATAAATGATAAGTAGCATATTGAAAATCTTAAAGTTATATTGCAAATTTTAAAAGAAAAGTAATTATATTTCAAGCTTTTAAAATGTGAAGTTTAGACAAAAGAAGTAAATTTTTAGGACATATAGTTTTTAAAAGTAAAATTGTTATTGATGATGTATAGGTAGAAGTTGTATTATAGTGGAGATATTTTAAAATAATAATTGAAATAATTAACAAGTTTTTTAGGATTAGTAGGGTATTACATAAGATTTATTAATTTTTTTAAAGATTTATTTATCTTTGACTCATTGTAAAAAATATTTATTTGGGTGAACTTTTAAGAATTATTCAGGAAAAAGAGTTTTGGAGGAAAAGAGAGGAGAGGATAAAATTTATATATTTAAATAAATATATTTAAAATTAATATTTTTAAAAAATAAAAGATATAAATTAATATATTAATAAAAACTTAATGTATTAATAATATATTTGTCATCATAAATAATATATAATTCTTTTACTTTAAAATTAAAAAATATGCTTTTTCTTCCCTTCCCCTCTAAAACTCTCCTTCCAAACATACCCTTAAATGTGAAATTTTTTTAAGAGCTTAAACATAGGTTAAATTCATCCCCTGTTAAGTTATTATACCATTTAATCTAAATAAACAATTTAAAATGTATTGTGATGCTTTAAAATAAAAAATAGGTTATGTTTTTATATAAGAAAAAAATGTAATGACTTATACTTTAAATATATAAGATCATATTAATAAAATTATACCACTCATGATTTAGTAGCAATTGTTTTTGTGTTAAAAATTTAGAGAGACATTATTTATATGAAATACAATTAAAAGTTTTTAGTGATTATAAGAATTTAAAATATTTTGTTTGATAAAAAAGAATTAAATTTAAAGTAAATGAGATGGATACAAATTCTTAAATATTATGATTTTGAATTTAAATACTGTCTAGTAAAGGTAAAGGTTGTTGCTAATGTTTTAAGTAGAAATTTTTTACATATATGGTAGATTTTATAGAAAAACTAAAAGATTTAAATTTGAAAGTAAAAATTCAATTTAAAAAGTGTAAAATTGAAAATATTCAAGATTATAAACGAGTTTCAAAAGCAAATTAAAAAAAAAAGATTGATTAGTACCTTCAAGAAAAGAGAAATTTGTTAGATTTACAAAAATAAATTAAATTTAATAAATATATTAATAAAATATTAGAACAAATTAAAAATTTAATTTTGAAAAAAGTACATATAAGTAAGTTGAGTTTGTATCTTGCTGCAACAAAAATGCATCAAGATCTCAAGAAAATATGTTGGTGGCTGAAGAAACATACAGCAAAATATGTAAGTTCTTTATTTAGTTTATGGAAAGACTAAGATAAATAAAAAAAAAAGTCTGGTGGTGAATAATTGTAGAAAGAACATAAAGTGAACATAATGTTATACAAGTAACTAAAAAGTCTGAGAAAATTATAAATATTATTTTATTCTTTAACAACTATCTTTGACAATTATTAGTCAACTTAAAAATAGCTAAATATTAAAGATATTAATTAAAAAATCATAAGTAAAATATTTAATTCAAAATATTATTAATATAATTTTATTTTTTTACCATAGTTTTTTAGAATGTAAATTAAATGAAGCGTAGAAGGAATGTCATGTCGGCAAAAAAATAAATAAATTCATATATGGGCTTGAATAATAAATACATCAATTTCAACGTTATCAAGTTAATAGAAAGTCAAATATATAATTTTAAAACCATAATAACAATAATAAAAAAATATAATTATTTTAACCAATATGTATTTATATAAATACAAGTTATACGATATTTTATAAATAAAATATTATAACTATAAAATATAATCTAGAAAATAAATTAGTAAAAAAATTATATATATATATAATTATATTTTATAAAATATCATACAACTTATATTCATATAAAGAAATATTTATGAAATTATTTTATTAATGCATTTTATATATTATTTCTTATAATTATAAATATTTTTTTTATAAAGTTATCATATATATTATATTTATTGAGTAACTATTTTTTAAAAATGAAGTATATTTTTAAATCATACATTGATTTTTATTAATATAATATTATTAAAATTAATGTATATATTATTTAGATATAGGCATAAAAATATTATTTTACTGACACTCTTTCATGAATAATCGATCGACACATTATGAATTTTAAACTCAATTTTTATACATTTTAACACGATTTCTAATGTTTATTTATAATTTATTATCTTTATAATCGATATCTTTATTCTTTAGCAGCATCTTTCAAAATATCAGTAATATAATAATGAATAAATAATTGAAAAGAAATAGACTTTTCCGAAGGCACCCCTCTGAAATTCAGAGGCTCAAAATTCATTGTTAAAAACCCCCCAGAAAATGTTTATTTAGGCGTTAAGAGCTTGCTGGCCACTCTGGTCGACCGTTTCTAAGGAAGCTACAAAAGACAACACACACACTCCTCAGAGCAGAACACACACGCACCAGAGAGAGAGAGGGAGAGAGAGAGAAATGTTGAACTCTGAGTTGGTTATTGGTTCCATTAGAAGAAGTCCGTTGTGGGTTGCAGCTTTCTGTTTGAAGAACCTCAAGAAATCTCATGTCTTTGAGACTGACATTTCCTCTTCTGTTGGTTAGTTTCTCTCGCTCTCTCTCCCCTTGCTAAACCCCTTCTCCCCCCTTTCTTCTTTCATTTGTATTCCTTACGTGAGTTTTAGATCAACTTTTTTTGTTTTTTTCTTTCACCTTTGCATATCCATGAGTTTTTTTTTTGTTGGTTTCTTTCATTCTTCACTGAGAGACAAGAAACATGCTTGTTTTTTCTGTTTATTAGCAAAAATGGTGTGTGTGTGTGTGGGGGGGGGGTAGAGTGTATCTTTACAATTTTGTGTTTGTTTATATTCTGTTTGTAAGTAGTTTCGGAAATTGTTCATAGAAAGGGCAGTTGTAGATGGGGTTAGTGATTAGTTGACAAATTGCTTATTTAGCTCTCTTGTGCTGGCCTTGAAAAGTTAGTGGTGGAAGGTACTTTTTTTTATAAGATAATAAATCATTTCATTGGTCTCCAGATACCCTTTGGCCTTTGGTTTAACATAATGGTCTTAATCCTCTAAGCGAAAATATATAGCTGTTATGCTAAAATATGATGAGATTTCATTGGCTTCAGTGATGATGATTGTTTACATTACATGTCTATTATTATATACATGAAGCGGTTATTCTATCTGCCAATTGCCATGGTATTTATTAAAATCTCCTGAAATGTGGAAGTTATTGAAACTGAATTCAAGTTTAAGGAGAATGAATAGCGGCAATGAAGGATATGATAGTGGTCACGTTTTTAGTTGAAAATGGAAATGGTTTTGGAGAAAATGAATCTGATTTGTATTGATTGTGTATGAATATACAGATAAATACAAAGAGAAGCTAACAGTTGCTTAACGGAATGCCTTAAACTGACAGAAAGGCAACTAAGGATGAACTACATTACAATTATGCATGTGGAAAAAGATACGGGTTGCAGAAGTTCTATTTAATACTTGTATCAACTAACATTGTCAGCAACTTAGCAATATTGGTAATTATTATATCATGTTATGGTATGTTTGGGAGGTGCAAAATTCCTGAATCAGTTTTATTTGTATAGAAAAACTGCAATTGCCCTTCAACTGACTGACTGAATTAGCCCACATATCAGTGGAATATTCTGGTTGTCACGATGCCAAGTTACCATGAATAATATTTCTGGCCGTAACACAAAGAGTAGGAAAAGTCATCCTTGATTTTTTCGCCCCCATGTCAAACTAACCTCAGTATTAAAAGTTTCTTAGGCTGTCGTTGGGGTATTGATGTTAGTATTGGTTTATAAATAGATAAAATAAATCAAAATTTTTGGTGATGGAAAGCATAATAATCATAGTCAAATTGGAATTGGTTTTTATAGGGAAAATTACAAACAATAATATTTTGGTTGAAGTATTTCTAGTTTAGGACAATTAACCACTTAAATGTTTATTCATCAACTGCTAAATAATGAGTGGTCTATTATAACTAAACTGGAATTATTTGAACCCAGAAATTTATTTATTTATTTATTTGTTCATTTTTCTCAATTCTATATTCTGTTATGGTCTCAGCATTAAGGATATTCATTCTATTCCATTTGGATCTCATGGTCCTTATTTCATTGTCATAGAGAGTGGTTGCAAAGTTTATGATGATTCTTTTAATGTTGCTGTTTGTGCTGAGACTTTTCCATTTTAGATGAATAATTTACTCAGTTTTTCTGTCTGATGTTTCTACTGGATGTAGAGTTTTGTCTTTGTTAGAACTGGAAGGCTGAACATATTTACTAGATCCAGTTTAGGGGCTGAGTATCAAGCTATATTAGTGGCAACCTGTGAACTTTCATAGTTAAAGCAACTACTTCTGCAGCTCAAATGGGCTGACGATAAGGAAATGATAGTGATTTGTGACGACCAAGCTGCATTACTTATTGCTTATAACCTAGTCTTTCATAAAAGGAACAAACACATAGATTGACTGCCATTTTGTCAGACATAAGATTCTTTCTAGCGAGATAACTAATGGTTATATTAACTCCAAGTTTCCAATGACCAGTTAGTTGATGTATTTACTAGGTTGCTTAGAGGGCCTATAGTTGACTTTATTTGTCATAAGCTTGGTGCATATGACATGTATACTCCTGATGGGACCCCAAAAGAGCAATGAAGGCCTTTGGAATACAAGCCCTACAAGGCCCACTGTGTGGCGGGTTTACTCTCGTAGGAAGAAAGCCAATAATCAATAATTAGGAAGTCTGTTATTATTTTGTTTTATTATTATTCTGTTATTAGAATGCTGTTTTGAATTTGAATAAGTCAGTTAGGATATTCTGTTATCAGATTCAGTTTGTTTTATTGTTCTTTATTTAAATGTTAGTTTGAGGAATGGATGGGGAATTTTTTCAGCTAGACTTAGGAGAGGAGAATAACATTCTCTGGGAGGAGCTTTGGCTCTGGGGCATTCTTGTAATCCTGATTCCTATCATAATCAATAAAATATCCTTTTCTTTTTCTTCAATTACCTGAACATAGATTCTGGTCCCTAACAATTGGTCCGACCTGCCGGATCACCTTTCCATGCACACGAGATCAGCGGAGAGGATGGAGGCATTAGAGGCAAGAATTCAAAGCATGGAGACAGCCTTTGCTGACTATCGAGCGCTGATGAGAGAAGAGATGAAAGAAAGAGATGCGAAGCTCTTGGAGGACATACAAAGGTTATTTCAAACCAGAAGCGAAGAGGGTCCGAATCTGAATTTGCATCCTCCCAGAACTGCACCCAATGATGGGGACGATTACCGAGCTTCAATCAAGAAGGTAGAATTGCCTCAATTTGACGGGGTTGACCTCGTTGGGTGGATTTGCAGGGCTGAAACTTACTTCGATGCCCATGGTACTTCGGAAGAGATGAAAATCCGCCTCTCAAAGTTGAGCATGGGTGGTAATACTATCCATTGGTTTAATCTATGGCGTGATGAAGAAGACAATGCAACATGGGAGCGCTTGAAGAGGTCCATGGTAACAAGGTTTGGGGTCGGGAGGCTTGACAATCCCATTGAAGAGTTGGCTGCGGTTAAGCAAACCGGTTCGGTTGAGGAATACATAGAAACCTTCGAAATCCTTGCGTCGCAGGTGTCACCCCCATTATCGGATGCTCATTTTTTGGGCTTCTTTATGAATGGTCTTCGGCCAGAAATCCGGAGAAAGGTGCGGTTGCTGTGCCCAACCTCCCGGACAGCCGTGATACACATTGCCCGCTGGGTGGAGGAAGATCTGGTCGCTGATGGAAGGTTAGAAGTGCCGGAAGCAAAGAATAAGGGCTATTATGCACCTACTCCCTTGGGGAATCGACCATTTAATAGGGATCGAAGTATCACGCCCTTCATCCGTGACAATCTCAAGGTTGGAGAGAATCTGCGGGTAGGAAACTGGATGACGGGGCCCTTGGGTTCCTCAGGAGATCCAAATTCAAAAGGAAATTTCATGCGCATTTCCCAAACAAACGGGGGGCGATCTCGTGGTGTAAGACACCTTCCTTTGGAGGAGTTGATGGATCGTAAAAACAAAGGGCTTTGTTTCCGCTGTGGAGAGAAATTCGGCCCTCGCCATCAATGCCCCGAAAAATCATTGAGAGTAATCCTCTTAGATGAAGGAGAGGAGCAAGGAGAGGGTGGTGTTGTCGTGACTCTGCTAGCGAAAGAAGAGGAAAGTGAGGCCCCTATAACGTGACTGTCATCAAAAGTCATTCCTTCATTCACTCTTGAGGACAAGAGTGCAAGTTTAGGGAGTGGTATTGATGGGACCCCAAAACAGCAATGAAGGCCTTTGGAATACAAGCCCTACAAGGCCCACTGTGTGGCGGGTTTACTCTCGTCGGAAGAAAGCCAATAATCAATAATTAGGAAGTATTAATGGTTTTGTATTAATAATTAATAATTAGGAAGTATTAACTCCAACTGAGGGAGAGTTAAGTACATGTATTATCAGTATTAATGGTTTTGTTTACTCATAGGTCATTAGTATTTAGTACTGATATGCATGTGTAGACTGATTAGTCACACAATTTTTTCCTCTAAACTTCTCCTAATTCTATTGTCTTTAATGATGGAAGTTTATTATCCTGTTGATTTGGTTAGGAGTTGTTGGTTCAATCCTGATTTACAAGTAGACTATATTTGTGATGCCCTGTGTTATTGGAACAACCATGCACCAACTTATATATTAGCCTTTTAATTTTACTTTACTCGGTCAAATATGAAAAAGGCTAAACTAATTAATTTTATTTGCTCTTATCAACTGATTAATTATATCTAATTAATACTAATTATATTTGATGTTTATAAAGAACACTTCTCTGTAGATTATGTGCTTGGTCCTGTCAATTCCAAAATTAATTAAGAATGTTTTAAGTTCTACTTATAATCAGCCTTGTGGAATCCAGGCTAATGCTGTGCTATTGTTTTTCCATCAATTTTTTTTTTCTTTTCATATTTTACCTTCTACAGAAAAGATTTTGCAAGATAAAATGGATGTTGTATCCTATAGAGTGCTGGCCTATCTTCTTCTTGGTGTTGTCAGAATTTACTCAAAAAAGGTTGAATATCTGTTCCATGATTGCAATGAGGTGCTCATTAAAATCAACAAATTTGTGACCAATACAAAAGACCATGCACATGTGGAAACCTTGCGTATGTCTGTTACTATACCAGACAGATTTGAGTTGGATGCTTTTGATCTGGATATACTTGAAGATGCTGATGGGTAAGATTTTATTAGGTTAGAAGTTTAATTGGTTATGGAATTTTCTTCTGGTTTTTCTAGAATTTCATTACTTATCTTCTGATAATTTCAGAGGCCATATTGCTCCTCAGGAAGAAATTACTCTTAAAGGTACCGAATTTGCTTTACTATTTCCCTAATCCCTATCATAGTAAGTTTAATCTTATTATATTGTTTATGACACTTTGAAATGAAACAGATGTTTTGTGTAAAACTGAGGGATTTGGGCGGCAGTTTTCTCAAGAGAAGGTATGCATTGCATAGTCCTTACCTGAATAATGTTTCTTCCATTTTATTTATACAAGTATGCTTGTTTTTGTTTATCATCAGCTTTTCACTAATATATTCTAAATCATTCTGTGTCTTGTAAATGCCCTTTGTTTTCCTTGTGTATATCTGTCTATTTTTTTTGGTTCTCCACTTACATGCTGGTTTATAATTAATTGTCATCTATGGAGTTCCTTTATTAGAATTTTAAATTTTTAACTGATTATCTAGTGCAAGCAATATATAACTACATACCAGATCCTGTGTTGCTTATGCCTCCACCTAACAGCTTAAACTTTTAGATGAATTTGTCCTGCACATTCATATTGGACAGCTTTCTCATTCTTTTTCATTATATTCCAATATCTTTCTGTTTTTATTTTTCATTTTATTTTTCTTGTTATAGATTTTCTCCTGATAATATTGAAGTTAAAACAAAGGAGTATAAATTTAATAATTTTTTCATTACATCTATAGAAGAAGGTGGGGTATAGATCTGTACCAAATATAACTGGGCTTATCTTTTTACCAAATGAGTTAAATGACGGAATATGATGCCAACTAATAAAATTGTACAATAACTGTAGACTGTAGCCATATATGTTTGGAAAAATATGCTGTCTCCTGGGCCAATCTGAATCATCAATGAGTGACTGGATGGCCTAGTTATATTGAAATCTTTCTCAATTGTAGTCATCATCTGTTATTGGCTTATTGATTGAGAACATTTTCGCATTTATGATGGTTTTAAATTCACATAAAATAATGGTTTTAATTTCCCTTTGGTATTTTCTTTATTCAGCACATCTTAGATATCTTTGTTTTTGTGATTTGCAGTTTGAGGAGTTTGATGTTGATGAAAATACCTGTTCTTCTGATCACCTTATGCTGGAAGGGTATGTTGATCAAATTTTTTAAAATTTTACTTTTTATTCCATCATTACATGCTGCTGAGCAACTTTTGGAATCAATGTAAATCTTCTCCATTGAACTTGTTTAATTTTTTTAATATGCCTTGCAGTGATCATCTGTCTCACCTGTTGAACATGGACTTAGACGATTGTCCTCCAAATAGTCCAATTAATTTGCTGGAAAGCAGGGATATATTTCAAAGCAGCATATTCTCTCAAAAGGAACCAATGAATGTTGACACTGTTCTAACAGTAGAGGGGGTAGAAAAGGAATCTATCTGCTTGTTTGCTCAAGATCAACAAATTAATGATCAGACAGTTCAAGAAATTGTACTATGTGAGGATGAAATACATGAAGAAAGAAGTAGAATCTCTCAAGAGGAATATAGGGATATTAGTATGCTTTCTGGAACAGAAAATGAACCTGTGTTATTTGTTGAAGCATTTAATGAATCTCATCAAGTTGACAATAATATAGCAGTGAAAGAAACATCAAGCTCATTATCCCAAATGAATCAGGAAACTATTGAAGTTCAGAAAGCAAGAAGTTTTCAAGAAAGTATAGAAAGGCCTCGGGATGAAAAATCCTATGGAGAAGAATGCATGCACCAAGGTAAATCTTCTGCTGCCAAGGAGATCCTTGAAGACCTCATTGAAGGGACTGTTGAAAAGCTTAGCTTTATTCCACCGCAGTCAAAAAATCTTGACGTAACTCCTCAGTCCAAGTTTCAAGGTGGTTCAGTTGGAAGACCAAAAGCAGGTTTATAAAACCATTATTCTGCAAAAGCCTTGAGAATGCTACTGCTGATTATTTTCTTTCCTAATTTTTGGCAGGTAGATATTATCGTACTTAATATTTTTCATCTGTTTACTTAGAAATCTATTTTGGCAGGTTCTACTACACCAGATTTTATGCTTATTTCTACACCAGCTGTGAGAGAGCGTGCTCGCTCTTCAACGAAAAGAAAAATTGTCCTTGATGAAATGATTGTCCTGCCTAATGAGTATGTCATATAGATTACCGAAACTATTCTTATGCACCCTTCTTTTTAATCATTCACTTGCTGTCTATTCATATGTCTGGAATTCTCCTGTCATGCCATTGTATGAGATACAATCTTTCAATGGTTATTTACATTGATAGTGATAGGAATGTTGACGACAGTGGAATAAGCCCAAAACTAAGGCCTTACAATTATATTCCCAAAAAGTGAAGTCAGCTAAGGCTACTGAGCAGAATGTGAGTTAGTTAGAAAAGGTGTGACCTACTGGGGTTGGTTAGACGAGAGAGAAAAGAGAATCAGGTGTAAATATGGCAGAGTGTCCGGGGGGGGGGGAATTGATTTTGACGTATTGTAAGCCTTGGGGTTGGGCAAGGAGCATCCTCCTTTTCTGGGAGCAATTTGCTCTTTCCCATTGTTTTTTTCTGTTTCGCTTTTATTCAATAATATTGGTCTCACTTTCATTACAGATAGTATCTAGAATTTGAAGCTGTTATCTAATTTATAAACTGTTATTTTTACTACATTGATAGCATAATCTGTCCATTCACATTAAATTGATAATGTATCGATTTGATATCTTGTGCACCTAAGAACACAATATCCTGAAGAAATCTGTCTTTGCTGGGGTCTCTCTCAATGTGGTGAAGTTTTCTCTGACCCTTCAAGTTCTTTGTATAAATGGTGCATGTTGAATGTAGTTCTTACTATTGAGATGGTTGGATGTGAGCAATGCTGGAAGATCATTGGCATTCAGAGGTGCTGATTGGGTATTTCTGGACTCCCCAATGGCCTTGTGCTCTTCTTCTTGATCCATAACAGTGATGCTCCAGTCCTGCAAAAACAAGGAAGCTAAAGTTTGACAAGAAGCACATTGTAGCAGGTGTGGCTGGGTCAGAAACTCCTTCAAACAGGAAGAGCAGACCTTGATGAGTCAAATGAGATCGGCATTGAGTGATTCAAACACCTGCAAGGCAGCACATGGGTTACGTGAGTGGTACCAATGGGGTTCCAGTGCATGACGGTGTGTGTGGACAACACTTGATTAGGTGAGATCATTGGCTCATTTAAAGTAGTTTTCGATAGCTAATGGTGGCATCAACAATGATGGCGTTGCCAAAAAGGTTGTGCTAGGGCACAGTGAAGGTGCAAAGGACTAGTTGGCTGCAATGAATGATAGGATTGGCTGCAATAAGGGTGGCTGGGAGATTAGTGAAGGCTGTGATAAAAGGTGGCTAGGGTTTAGGCGTGGAATCAGAGTTCCTAGGATTGGAGTGATACTAACTTGAAAATATGACATAGAACTGAATATTATCATTATATATCAAGGGAGACTATTTATACAACTATGGTCATAAGTACCTACGCTAAAAACATGGGCATCAAATCAAGCCTAATTACAATAAATTAGGCAAAACCCCTAATAGGAAAGAAATAAAAAATAAATTTATAAAAAAAGGAAAGATGAAATAAACACATTTAGCACATGTTACATCAATAAGAATGGTGTGGAAAAATCTGTATTAGTTATAGGATTCTGGTAATTTATTGTTATTGACTTATTGTTACCCTAGAATTAGGACTATTTACTTGTATTTCCTACTCTGATAGGAAATGCCACAAATTATGATTCTCGACTTTATTTTTTCCTTTCCGAATTAAAGTTGTAGGTATAAATATCTAACCCATGTGTATATCATCCAAAATTTGAATAATATACCATATTCTTTAATCCTATGAATCACAAACGCTCCTCATGGTAGAGATGTTGGTGTTTTGAACTCGTTTTCAACACCAACTCCTTTTTGACACCTATTTGACCTCACTAGGTGTTCAATTAAAAAATTATTATTTTGGCTTGGATAGTTGAGCTCAACACAACTGCATGACTTGGACACTTGAGCAAACATCTCCATATAGGGAGACTTTGAGGGTACTTGTCTAAAAAAGTTCAAATTTTTAAAACATTCAAGAAAATTGGCTTAAAATTTAATCTAAAATGTTAATAAAATAAAGTGAATATACTTTGCTTTTGTTGTAAATAATATACATAGGGTAGTTTTGTAAATAAGAAAATTATGTAATTATAGTAATGGTGTAATTAGCCTATGATACAACCCACACAAGACAAATAACAACAGAAGTAAATAATGCAAAGAAAAGGGAATAGTTGTTTGTATTATATGATAGAAAAAGGAAAATATAGAAGGAGAAGATCCCCTCTGTCCCAGAGCCTAGCGCCTTTAGAGTCACCCAAAAGGTTCTCTACCCTTAGCAAATGTGCAAAAAGCATGAATGAATTCTCATCATTCCAATTCTGATATCAAATAACAGAATTATTCTTTGTCTTTCTTCTAACTACCCTTCTCCCCTACGGTTGCCTCCTCAACACTCACATTCCCTCTCTTTTTCTTCCTAACATATACTTTCCAAGTCACAGGCCCTTCAGCTCATGTCTGGGCCAAAGGCTCTTGAGGCCCTTTGTTCACTTGGGCCTCATCAGCCTAATTATAGGTAATGGTTGATCATGTATTTATTGTGTCTTCAATATAAATAATTAGCTCCAGTGTGTATTGTGATACAAAGATTCATCCTATGCCTCTTGTTTCTTTCATCTCTTTGAACATGGTATCTACAGGCTGACATGAGGCAATTCCTTGTGATCCACTATCCATTGGTGCAATTTTTTTTCAAATAGTGTTTCATCTTCTGTTTCTTGGCCCATCTTGGCGGTTTCATGTTGATTCATGCTCTCACACACTTCTTCTTTTTGATGTGTTTCTCACGTGCCGTTGCTCTTCGGCATGTGGGACAGTGTGTTGCTGGTTTGTTCCGTTTGACCATTGTCCCTCGCCCTAACATCATCTAAGGTTGTTCCTGCACTTTTTGATTCTCCTGCTTTGTTGTCCTAGCATGGTGAGTGTGCAATTTCTTGTAAGATGAGCAAATTGCTTCAAATTTGACCATTGTCAAACCCTGACTACAATATTGATAGATTTTATGAACACTTGCTCCCACCTTTCTATTCTTGTGCATGACCAATGTTGCATAAACTAATTTGTAGGCACTACTAGGCCATCACTTGCTCCTTAGGCTCAACCTACCAACTACACATCATAATTTTCTAAAATGGTATGAGGAATGTTAGTCCTCCAATTTGATTGTTTGTATTACTCACATTGGTAATTCTTTTGCTGACATCTCTCACTCTACTTCTCTAGATGTTTGGGTCTTAACTCAGGCTATCAATCATATCAATAGTGATAAATCTCTTTTCTCTACTCTTTTTTCCTTTTTATTTCTTCTCAAATACAATCTAAAGGCATTGGTACTGTTCACCTTGTTCTTTCTCTTGTGTTTGACAATGCATTTTATATCCCTGGGTCTCATTTTAATTGTTCTGTCTTTTTACTAAAGATTTTGTTCTTCCGTAGGATTGGAATTTGAGGCAATTAGGCTAATGATTAGATTTGGATGTGAGCCTCATGGCTTATACTTGCTCAAGAAATCGTCTCATGTTGGTTCTACTTGGGACTCTCTTATGATTCATTTTACAACAATTAGTGTACATTATTTAAAGTTATCATTTGTATCTTGTGAGTCATGTAAGTTAGGTAAACATGTTCGACATTCTTTTCATAGTCATGTCACTACTTGGGCTTCATCCCCCTTTGAACTTTGATGTTTGGAGTCTTAGTCATAATCGTTTTACTTTAGGGTCTAAATTGTTAAGAAACTTGGGCTTAACTTACTTTCAAAAGCTAGCTCGTAGGAGGAGGATTACAGAAGCCCTTATAAGGAGTTTTTTTGGTTCTATTCCTATCCAATGTGAGACATCTTAACACACCCCTTTCACGTTTAGGGATGAACATTTGGTGCATGAAGTTTGTAGGATTGGACATTTGTGGGTGACAATGTTAAAAAATGGTTATGGCGGTGCCATGGCTGGTGATGGTGGCATTTTTCAACCAAACTGCCATGACCATGGCGAAAAATGGTGATTTTTAGTGGCAGGGCCATGGTGGCCGTTATACGCTTGGCGTTAATGGTGTTTTTGATTGGAAAAATTGGATTGGGCTGCGGACTCGACCCATTTCAGAGAGAAAACCTGCGAGCCCAAACCTTAAATCACTTAATCGCATCTCTTCTTCCTCTCTCTTTGTCTCACATCTTCGTTGCAATTGCATTGCCAGGGAGCGGCAGTCGGTCGTGTGATACTTGCTTTCGTGAATTGCTTCTTCCATTGCAAAAGTTAAGCCCTAATCGCAAACAAGTTCTCGGAGTGTGTGTGAATTTATGAATCGTAAAGGAGAAAGGAAGTGAAAGTCTGATCTTGCCCTTGCTACAAGTAGTATGTACACATGTTCTCCCTCTTCTCTATTTTTCTTCCTTCTTCTCTAAAGCCAACTTCTCCTTCATCTCCTTCACCATTTTCGCTAGAGAAGACATCCTTTCTAGCTGTTTTCTGGCAACTATGAGTGGGGCCCCTGTTTCTTGGCATCTATTTTCCATTTTGCTTCTCTGGCCTCTGTTTTTCTGCTTCATAGTGTGCTCTATTTGTCACTTTCTTTGCGGCTATTTTGCTTCTTCTGGTGCTATGTTCTCCAAACAGTGTTCTGTTTCTCATTGTTTTGTTTCTCATTGTTTTGTTTCTCACTCAGTCAACATCTTCAGTTTCCCTCTTCTTTAGTTTTTCCCTCTCCTATTCTATTTTTTTCAATTCTATTTGTCCCTCTCCCATTCTGTTTTAGTCCCCCATTTTTTTTGTTTTTCTTTATTATTGGTTATTGTCAAAAATTTGGTTTTTGACCGAGTTCAATGGTGTCGTGTGATTCCTATTGCTGACCTCAGCTAGTGAAATAAGGCTTGATTGTTGTTGTTGTCTTTATTATTTTGTTTTCATGATTCTATTTTTCTGTTTTCACTTCCAAGTTATAACTTCAGTTTTTTTCTCTATTTTACAACCATTTTATTCTGTTTTTTTTTTCTCAAAACCTTGTTTT